GTGGAGAGCTGCTCAGGTGAGCAAGGGCAGTCTGAAAAAAATCCAAGATAATTTTGATAAGGAGTAATGAATCAGATTGTATTGGAGGAGGTGATGACTACTGGTTTTATTCTGGATATTTTTCATTTAGAATATAATAACAGTGGAGTTCTTACATAGTAATTATATGTTCATACATTACAGGAAATTATTCACCATAGTCATTATTACCCTAAGAACACCATTTGTTTATCCAGCTACTTTTTATGTTTATCTTGGCTCTCTATTCTAGTGAAAAAAATTGACCATGGCTGCCCACTAATGGACACTGAAGTTTTGCTTCTGTCTCATAATGGTCTGTTATCATGACTATCTGCTCCTATATCATGTTGCCTAGCTCTGGAGTTTTGTTACTATGACACACACACTGTGTTCCTTTATCAACTTGAGGACAACTATACCAAGTATCTCATGGACCACAAAGTTTTCAATCTATTCCTTATGCTCACTTGAAAAAAACGTCACCATATTAATCAAAACTATTTTTTGGTTATTTTCCCATAATCACTCTTTGTGACTATGTGATAGTCATCTGAGCATGTACTTTGGCTGTACATTCATCTAATGCTAACGGTTAATGTCAAACATTTCTTTATTCATTTACCAGATATGAGTTCTGCTTTGTGAATATTTGCTAACTTTAGCAGCAGACTTCTTATGCTTTTTCCTACTTATACTTAAAGGCCCTTTACATAAAATGTGCCATCTTAATCATTTTTTAAAAATAGTATATTGACTTATTTTTGAGACAAGGTATTTCTCTACATAGCCCACTGTCGTGGAACTCACTATATAGACCATCCTGTCCTCAAACTCATAGAGATCTACCTGCCTCTGTCTACAAGTGCTGGGATTTAAGACATATACCACCATGTATCGCATCATTTCAACTATTTTTAAGTACATACTTTAAAAATGTTGAATTTATTCACATTGTTGCCAGTAATTCAATTGTATGTTTTAATTATGCATCATATGTTTTGTGTGTCTAATTTTTGTTTGTACATTTTTGTGTGTGTATGTTAATTTGATCTACTCTTACAATGTATACTAATCAAAAAAGTATAATAAACATCTCTTTATAATCAACCACTAATCACTTTAGTGTAATGGAAATTTCATACTTGTCTAGTCATTTGGTTAAGTATTATAGATTGTTTGAATGCATGAGTATCCTGCTGTGCTATAGAAAACAAGAAGTTTCTTTTTCTCTTTGTTTTGGTGTCTCTTATTATCTTCTTGTCTCTACTCCCCTTGCCCTTCCTATTTTCTAGTGACCACTGTTCCACTTTTTTCCTCTCTCTCCTCTCCCCCACCTCTTTTTTGTACACACATATCTGATCTACAGTTTACCCCTTTCCTCTCCTCCCAGCCCCCCTCCCATACTCCCTCTGTTCCCACACCCCAAACCATTTCTCATTTATTTCTGTTCAGGAAAGGGCAGGTCTCCCTTGAGTATCAACAAAGTGGGGCAGATCAAGTTGCAGTAAGACTAAGCACCTCCCCAAGTATTGAGGCTGGACAAGGTGACCCAGTGTGAGGAGTAGGGTCACAAAAGCCAGAAAAAGAATAAGAGTCAGCCCCTGCTCCTACTATTAGGAATCCAACAAGAAGACCAAGCTACAACTGCAGCATATGTGTAGAGTGCCTAGGTCAGTCCCATGCAGGCTCCTGGTTGTTGGTTCAGTCCCTATGAACTTCTGTGAACCCAGGTTTGTTGATTCTGTGGGTTTTCTTGTAATTTCCTTTACCTTTCTGGCTTCTACAATCCTTCCTCCCTCTTTTTTTGCGAAATTCCCTGTGCTCTGCCTAGTGTTTGGATGTGGGTCTGCATTTGTTCGTCTCTTTCTTCTACAATGCTGACTTGCTGTTTTGCAAAACTGAAATGCACATGTATTTGTTTTTCTGTGTTTGGCATGTTTTATTTAGCATAATTACTTCCCATTCTATCCTTGCTCCTGCAAAAGCCAGGATTTCTTACCTAGTGGCTATATAGTATTCCACACTATATTTTACTATTTTATTCATTCATTCACTGAAGCATCTAGGATGATCTACCATTTTAATTTTTATGAATATACTTCAATAAATGGAAGAGTACAAGTATCTGGTACAAAGATTTCATTTCCTTTGAGTATATATACCCAGTGCTATGATTGGTGATCATATACAATATTTCTTTTTATTTTGGAGGAATTTCTATATTGTTTTCCACAGTGATTATATTAATTTACAATAATACCAACAGTATACAAAGTTTCCCTGATTTTCACACAGTGACCATAATATATTTTTCTTTTTGATGATAGTCATTATGGGGTTAAATAATATCTGATTGTGGTTCTGATTCAATTTTCTCTGGTGATCACTGAAATTGACCAATTTTATTTTATTTTCTGGCTAAGTGTATGTCTGTTTAGTTTAAAGCCCACCTTTTTTTGAGTTCCTTATGTACACTAAATGCCACTTCCTTATTATCAAATATTTTTCTCATTCTGTAGTTGTCTCTTAATTCTGTTGACATTTCTTAGCTGTCTAGAAGTTTCTTATTTTTCTGAATTTACTTTTTTGGAGGGCTGTATGCATTATCGCTTGAAAGAGAACATGCTCAAATCTCCATATCTTCTCTTGTTTTGTTATTATATAGACTTGTAGACTATGATTTTCTGACATATATCTTAACCAAATGGTTTTGTTTCATAAATTCCTTTTCATGTACTACAATAACAATATTTGCTAACAAAATGATAATTGTTCTTGAAGGGCACATGTTATGCCCAACCCCTTCTGTACATATATATATATATAACATATATTACATAATATATATTACATAATGGTTATTTGAACATGTTTGCTACTTATGATTTCCCTTGATATTATTGCCTTCTTATGCATCACATACCATATCCTAATCCTATAAATCATGAGTAGTTATGTCTGTGTCATTTATTTTAGTATGATGGTTTGTTGCTTATTTAAGATCATTTATATATATCCCATAGTTACATACAAGGATAGTATGTTTAAGTATTCATTAATGACATTTTTATTTTTGTAGAATGTCTATCTTCTCTTTTAACCAAAATTATTACTAATATATCCTGAACATGCATCATGGTTGTATATTTATGTATTTTGTTCTGTGGTTTATTTATTCATTCTGGGCTTTATATTCTGTTATCAATGATGTCTATTCCTGTGGAGTGGTGGACAAGTCATATATCATAATTACATAAACATTAGCCCTTGTCATATGATCACAAATCAGGTCTGATGGATATTTGAGACTATATCATGGATGTTGTTTATGTCCAGTGTTGTCTAACCATGTAAGTATATTTTATTACTTATGTGATACAGTTTTCTGAACTGTACTATTCTTGATAATTCATATAAATTGTCCTACAACTCTTTGTACAATTAATGAATCATCAATCTTATGCCAACTATATTAGTTTAACTCAAAAATATGTGAAATGAAGATTGTTGAATTTATCAATGTCATGCTAATATCTAATACCACAATTATCCTCATCACTGGTGTAGACATTGAATCATATCTGAAGTCCATATTATTCAACATTATGATTCTTCATATACCTGACTAGATCCTTAAAGACAGCCTAGAATAGAACCTACTGGCTCTCTTTGTAGGAATAGAGTACATTTAAAAGGGGCCTTATTCATTTAACCAATCACAATACTTTTACATATGGGATATATTTTATGGATATGTCTTTTAATTAAACCTTCCTGGAAAAGTGTTTCATGTACCTCCACTATCTCTAAAAATTAAATTACTAATGTGATGATATGACTTAAAAAGTTCAGTGTTGGTCTGGAATGTTTAATATTTTAAATTTAAAAACCCATAGAGCTTAGAGATAATAAGCAAGTACAATTTCAGTGACTATTTTCCTAAACTTACATCTTAAGTAAATCTTCTATAGTATAGAGTTCATGAAAAAATGCTTGTCTTCTGTATATAATCCAAATCACTAATTTTATCATTGGTATAACTTGATACTTTAAGAATATCTATACTGTACAGTTAGGCTTAGAATTTTCTTTTATGTTGTGATAGCTTCCTAAAGGTGTATGTCTTCTCCTTGACTCTTTATGGGGAAATACTTCTTATTTAAGATCCAGCACATTGTGTCACTCAGAAGTTTTTCAGTCTGGTGAATTTGCTGTCTATTCAAGCCTTTCAATATTTTAAAAAATTGTTTAACTTGAGCAAGATGAGACACAATGTTCATAATGCATAAGGTTACATATTTCTGCAGTGTTATGTAGTTAACTAAACCAAAGCCCCCTATGACATGAAAGATCAAACAAGTGATTCAGGGAAATAGAAAAGAGACATGAAAGACTATCTTTAAAAGTTATTTTTATTTTATTTTATGGGTATAGGTATTTTGCCTACATGTATGTCTGTGTACTGTGTATATGCCTGGTGCCCACAGAAGTCAGAAGAAGATATCAGATATCCTTGAACTGGAGTTATTGATAGTTGTGAGCCACCCTGTGGGTGCTGGGGCTTGAACACAGTCCTCTGGTAGGGAACCTTAAGCACCAAGCCATCTCTCTAGCCTCCTGGGAGACTATTTTTAGCTTTTATATTACAAGAGGCAACTGAGACTTTAGGAAGGCTTATAAATCACCAAGTTATGCAGGAAGTCAAGGAGAGAGATGCAGCAAAAACTCCAGTTTCCTGGTGATGGACTTAGAGGAGCATTGTTCTGCCTTTTGCCCTTTCTTGGAAGGATTCTGGTATGTTCAGAAGAAACATATATTGGGAATGAATCTTTTTTTTTTACCTTGATCATCTTGGGAGTGTAAAGTAACTGGCTGGATAGTAGAGTAACTAAGTAATTTGAAATCGTTCTAAAACTCTTCTCCCCCTTTGTTTTCTATCCTTTCGTTGGTCCTCTTCCCCTGTACTATGGCTCTCACAGGTCTCTCTAAGTTGCTGTCTAAGAAGATGATAAACAAACAAATGTGGCATTTCTATGTGACCAGAATTGGAGTTCTTTTCCTGATCTGTATTCTCCCTGAGACTGCTGGCCAAGGGGAAACAAGACGACAAGAACCTGGAGACTTTGTGAAGCATGATATTGGAGGGTAAGGAAAGCTATTCTTTGGAAGAAAATATGAATACTATGAATGTTTACCTCCCAATTTTTCCCCAGTGGGCCTAAAATGTTCTGATCTCTGGTACTTAAATATTACATTGAATTTCGAAAACAAATCATCAGATTAGACTGTTATTGTTACCATTGGAAGAAATTTTGAAGATCTTCTTGACAACTCTCCACGCTTCTCTAAAACCATATTGTGATTTTGTAAACAAATCTCTCCAGTCTTTTGTTATTAATTTTTAGTAACTCTCAGTCTCAACCTGACCCCTTTTGGGAATCATATCTACTTAGCATTGAAACACTGACTCTCTCATCTTAAATTACTTTCTTATAGAAAATTCCTCAAGTCTCTTGTCACCTTTACAACCATACTTCTTGAAGGAATGATATTCTTATCATTGATACATTTTTTCTCATCCATTTTTATATCACTTGATGTCAGAAATCTGACCATGGGCCTCTGAGACAATTTATATAACTAAGATGGGTAATGTTAACTCCAGAAAGAGCTTTTAGTTAGCTTACTTTCTAAAATTTTGCTTCCATTCATCTTTCTCTATTCTATAGCTATTTTCTCCTATAATGCACATCAAATGAACAATGGGCAAATGATGAACCAAATCCTCATGTTACTCAATTTCTTTAAGAACAAGTATCAATATTCAACGTGGTTTCCGTCCTTTACTTCTTTCTATCATGCAATAAAACATGCACATATAATCATATAAATATATCCATAGAATAAATACAATTCTTTATTTGAATTATCTTTGACAGACTTCCTGGGTGTTTGGGATATGTTCTCTAAAGTAGGAGCACTACCCAAAGTCTCAGGAGCAAATGATTTGTAGGAGGGATGTTCTCAAGAGGAAACTAAGGAGGGTAAGTGCAACAAACTACAGAAAGTGGTAAATAAAAAGGGATATAGTGAAGTTCCTAACGTAAATGCCAAAGGGTTACATTTTGCTTTCCATTTATAATTTCTTTTGTATCTATATCCACCTTTCTGTTTGACACCTTCATTTAGGTATTCCACAAACACCTCAAGCTAAGCATGTCTAGAGTATCCCTTCTACCTCTCACTCTTTCTGTAAGAGCAAACACAACAAAACAGTCCTTTTCTCTTTCTCATATTTCAGCTCATAATACTACCATGTACCCAGTTGTTAAGGTCATAAAATTATTGTCATCTTTGCCAATTTTCTCCGTTTCTACTCCAAATTGAAGCAGTTACTAAACTCTGCCACTTTTACCCTTCATATTGCTTGGATTGCTTTATTTTCCATCTATTAACCCAGTTTGCTTCAATGCTGTTTTCCACTTGGACTTCAGCAAGAGCTTTTAGTTAGCTGACTTCTTAAAATTTTACTTCCATCCATCTCTATTCTGTTGCTATGTTCTTCTATAATGCACATTGAGTTATATATTTCAAGAACTTAATACTTTCTTCTTCTCTCGAGAGTAAAATCAAAACTCATAAATATGGTGTTGTGAGGATTTACTCACCTTGATAACTGTATATCTTATTCTTCCAGAAAATTGTTCTTCAGCATCCTTTATCTTCTCTTTTTCAGGCTTATTAACTTTTCTTAGTGATCTAAAACATGTTTGTTTTATTTTAATTTGAAAATATTATTACAACCCTTTCTCCTTTCCAGTCTCTCCCAAGCACCCTCATTTCAACTCCTTCCACATCCCTCCTCTCAAATTCTTCCCTACTATTTTTTACGTGTGTGTGTGTGTATGCACAAGTGTATAAATACAATCTGTTTAGTCCGTTTTTAGTGTTTGTTTGTATATGGTTTCAGGGCTGACCACTTTGTGTTGGACAACCAATTAGAGGGATCATCCTGGGAGAGGCTAACTCTCCCTCTCTTAACACTCTTCAGTTGCCTGTAGTTCCTTGTCCAGGAATATGACCCCTTGAGATTCCCCTCTCCTCCTGCATTATCATGTGCATCGATATTGCTAGGATAAACTCTTTCACAATACTAGTATTTGGGATCTTACAATCTTATTGTCACTTTTTCTTGATGAGGCATACTAAACTCTTATCTGTGGACTGTAACTGTTAGAAATGAATCCTTAGGCTTGGAATACTTTAGTTTTATAATCATATTATTTTATTAGAAATAATTATTTAAATAACGTTCTTTTCATTTTTTACTTTACATATTTATTAGGATATATTTAAAGGAATTATTTATAACATTTTTATTCATGTATATATTTTGTTTATTTCCCACTCTTGCCCCTTTCAATCTTTTCTTACCAATTCCTTTCCTATTCACAAATGAAATCTCTTTTGCTTTCATGTATCTTTTTAAAAAAATCTGGATCCCATATATAGAAGAAAACAACTAATACTTACCTTTCTGATTCTGAGTAATAGCTATTTTATTCCTTGGTATTTCCCCTATACATTTTTTTTTACATTTGACTATTTGTCCAATATTCTTGGAAATAGAATTTGTTACTCATGACTTTTGTGATGTTGATAATTTTAATATATTCTGTCTCTTTCAACCTTTTCCCAGTGTTTTACAGTTGTGGGACACAGAACTGGACTTTTTTTTTTTAGAATTTTGGCATATTCTTTTTCAATATGGAAAGTTCAACCAATTCTGTCTCTCTGTCTCATTAATTCCTTGAGTCTGGTTTCCCTGGGCTGAGACAGGTGTTCTAAATAAGGTAGAGATTTTCTTTTCTTTTCTTTTCTTTTCTTTTCTTTTTTTTTAAGAGAAAAATTCTATTGATTGACTTAGAATAAGGAAAAAATACTCTGAGTGAATTGATGACAGTTAAAAGAAAAACAGAAACTTTTTGAGTGCGTCATTTGCATTTGTACAGAAATATACTTGCTGTTTCCTTTCAGAAGCACTGTGTAATACTAACTGTCTCAATGTTACTGACAAGGAAGTGAAAACCTGTAATAGCCACTTCAAAGTTGTTTTCTTTTTTTTCTTTTTTTTATTGAGAAAAGGAAAAAAAAAGTTTCCCCCTCCTCCCATTCCCCTCCCCCTCCTCCCACCATTCTCCCCCTCCCCCCACTCCTCTCCCCCTCCCTCTCCAGTCCAAAGAGCAGTCAGGGTTCCCTGCCCTGTGGAAAGTCCAAGGTCCTCCCCCCTCTGTCCATGTCTAGGAAGGTGAACATCCAAACTGGCTAGGCTCCCACAAAGCCAGAACATGAAGTAGGATCAAAACCCAGTGCCATTGTCCTTGGCTTCTCAGCAGCCCTCATTGTCCGCCATGTTCAGAGAGTCTGTTTTTTTTTTTTTTTAAGTTTTCATCTTTAATGAAATGACTTTGGAAACGGTACATTTCCATGACGCCAGCACTACAGCTTTTGGGGTCACAGTAAGATACACAGAATTACATCCGTAATTACTATGAATGCCAACAGTCCGGTTTTATTCCATGCTTTTTCAGTCATAGTCCAGCTGGCCTTGGTGAGCCCCACTGTCTCAGTGGGTGGGTGCACCCCTCGTGGTCCTGACTTCCTTGCTCATCTTCTCCCTCCTTCCGCTCCTCATTGGGACCTTGGGAGCTCAGTCCAGTGCTCCAATGTGGGTCTCTGTCTCTATCTCCATCCATCACCAGATGAAGGTTCTATGGTGATATGCAAGATATTCGTCAGTATTGCTCTAGGATAGGGTCATTTCAGGTTCCCTCTCCTCAGCTGCCCAAGAGATTTTAAATGAATAAACTTCACCTCTTCGAGTCTTGACGCTTTTATACTTTCGCTTGGAGGATCAAATTTTTAAAAAGGCATTACATAGTTTCCTATCATCTTAAAGACTTTGACCAGAATTGTTCCTTTTTGTTCTCAGAGAGAGCATTTCTTATATTTCCCTCACAGCTGCTTTTAATTTTTATCGTTAGTGTTGTCACCTTTCCTGTTTATATTGTTTTCTAACATCCTGCTTTAGCTTAGAAAAACAGATATTCAAGCATTTTTGCAATTATGTTAAATAGGAGGAAAAGAAATCCTTCCTGAAACAGCAGAGAAAAGTGTTTGGTTTTACAGCTAGGGCAAAATGACTGCATATCTTTTGAATTAGAGAGACCTTTTCTTGTTTATTCTCTTTCAAGTTAAAAATAGTCCATGCTTTGTACAGATGAGACTACTAAAGACTTGGCTCTGGATATTAAGTTTGACACTCTTAGTATGTACTAGAAATAAATGAACTAACTGAACTTAAAATATATAGTGTATATTGACAGTTGTCACACTTAAAGGAGCTATTGTTTCCTTTTGTTTCTTCTTATATCTTCTTAATTATGTGTTTGAAAAAATACATTTGCTGTATCACTTTGTCATTTATTTCATTAAATCTCCTCTTCTAGCAGCTTTGACAGTCAACAATGATCTATTGGCTAGTACTTGATTTAAATCATATGCTAATGTCAATAATTCTCAATGTTTGGTGTTTGAAAGCCAGAATGTAGGCTTTACAGTAGTTTTTAATATGGAAACTTGGAGGACAGTGCCAAGCAATTTGTATTTGAGCAGATGCTCCAGATCATTCTAATGTAAGAAATACTTTGGGAAGACAGCTAATGTTTTCAAGGAACTAACAGAATAGGAATACCAGATCCTGGAGCTTTAGTAGGGCAGTTGTCGAAAAACCCACATACAAAATCTAATTTAATCTTCAATTTTATACTTAAATTAACTGAGGACAAGAAAGAAACAGTTGTTTTCTTAAACTTTATACTAAGTTAATAGAAAATTCAGGTCTAGAGCATAGTTCTCTGTTACTTTGTTGTATAGCAATTTCTTCTGAGGTAAAACCTTTCATCTTTGAGGAAAGCTTGTAACAAAAGACAATATCAAAAGGAAGGCAAAACAAGAGGATGTTCTAAAGAGAGGTAAAACCTTTCATACTGCAGCGTAGTTCACTAAAGTCAGGATGCAGCAATGTAATACCTTCAGGAAGTTTCTGAAACTGACTATATTCACTAGGTCCCTCCCTCCCTTAG